ACAGACACTGTGAGATACGTTTTTGTTGTTTTAATCTGCTATATTTTGCGGTACTTTGTTATTCAATAATAACTGATGCAGGAGGTGTGGGAATAGGGTCGTTGCAAACATGTTTGGGGTTGAGAAGAAGGAGCCAATGGAGACTGAGAGAGTGTAGATCCACAAGAGAGGGGAAATCATGGTTAGGTCAAATTGTGGAGGAAGTTTGTAGGGGAGAGGATCATCAGAAAGGGGTAGAGAAGTTCTTTTTGGAAAGGGAAGAGTGAGGATCAGAAAATAATTTCAGGTTGGAAGGATAAAAGGTGAAATCAGGCCTGATGCCCTTGATTCCTACAGCAAAGGAGGTCATGTCACAGGCTGATATCAGGAGTTCCAGGAGAGTAAAATTGGAAGATGTGAGATATCACATAGAGAATCAGGTAAAGCAAAGAACATAATTCCTCTCCAGCTATGCTTAGCACCCTGGGGAACAAACTGAGAAAGCAGACAGCAGAGTTTACTCAGGATTGAGGATTGATGAGGCAGATATGAAAGGCCGAGTGGGCAAAGGATTCTGAGATGCTGGTGTAATTACAGTGGCTGGGCATGAAGTCTAGACTGGGTACAAAGGCACATGAAACTATAAAATAGTTAATGAACTGAGAATATGAAAGTGTGGGCCTTCTATGGCAACTATAATCTGTACCACACATTTCACATTTTATTCCAAACTACCTTTTTGGGGAGTATGCCTAGTTGCACTGGTCAGTTCATAAACTCAGGGTAGTGACCATGGTTTATATACGTTGTACTCCCTTAGGAACTAGCACATTGTTTCATAGGGATTCATTTATTTGTTGAATCAATGGGTAAAATCACTTTAGCATTGTGTGTTTTCTACAGAGTTTTTTTCTTCCTTCACAATAAGCATCTGATTGAGGCTAAAGAGCTGCTCCTTTAGATAGTGTGTTCCATCCTTGTCTCTAAAGAGCCAGGATTTCTGGATGCTTTTAAGAAGCATTATATAATTATGAAAAGAAGGACAATAGCTGGTGGGCTAAAAATAATAAGCCTAATTATGCCTATGTGAAACAACCTTGAAATAAACCTTGGATGATTTCTCTTCAATCTGACAAAAATCAGAAAAAAAATAAAAAGGTTGAGAGTAAAAAAAAAGACTAGCATTCTCCTGGAAAATCAGGGGGAGCAGAGGCTCTCACCAAGCTTAGATCTGGAGTGAGAGCTCTGAGAGGAGTGTCTGGTTTTCCAAGATTACCAGTACAAATGGCTCCTTACCCTAAGTGGACATTTACCTATTCTTTTCTTGGTATACTCTCCTTTCATTGTTTTCCTGGAAACAACAGGCTTACTCAAGTCTGGTAAAACTATTAAGAAAAAGTTGGCCTGGTCTGGCATGGCTCAGCAGTTAAGCATCGACCTAGGATCCAGGAGATCACTGGTTCGATTCCTGGTCAGGGCACATGCCTGGGTTGTGGGCTTGATCCTCAGTTGGGGGCGTGCAGGAGGCAGCAGATCAATGACTTTCTCATCATTGATGTCTCTACCTCTCTCTCTCCCTCTCCCTTCCTCTCTCTGAAATCAATAAAGGTATATTTTTTAAAAAATTGAAAATAGGCTTCTAAACCACTGAAGAGAGTCACTGATTGCAATGATATATAGGTGGTTCTTCAAATATTCACCATCTGCCATTCTATGTACTTTACAGTCAAACCCCCACCCACCTTTCCTTCAGTTCAGGTTTTTACATATCAGTTAATAAATGAATATTATGAAATATTATATGGTGATACAGCCAAGAGTTTCAGTTCAGTTTTTACACTTTGTTGAGTTTGTTTCTAACATTCTGCCCTTCTCATTAAAATGAAGGGAAACAAAAGTGAAAGTGCTGATCCCAGTAATAACAAGTTTAGGTCTCATACACTTAGTGCAATGAAGACAAATATGAAAGTCATCCAACCATCTAAAAGGACTTAGCCATAACCAGATGCTCATTGTAAAGGGAAAGAAGCCAATGAAAGAACACATGTGAAGTATTAGTACTAAATTACTGAAAATTGTGTCTGAAATTGAGGTGTAATTAGGGATTTTTATAATTCTTAAGTCTTATATCATGTTAGTTCTACTTTCAGTCAGTAATATATTTGAAAACATATTATGTTAGAAAGAGAGAAACTGCCTATATTGTATTGTGCTCCACAAGGCCACATGGGGTGCCACAGAGGCTATGGTCAGGGCCAGTGGTCAGAGGTGCAGGCCTCCCACCCCTGTATCAGCTTTCACCAAAATGAAGTTCCTTTCCTGCTTTACATTCTGGATTCTGAAAAGGATTTCTTTCAAGAAAGGGTTCCCATGTAACAAAAGTCTGAAAATCACTGCCTTACCCTGATACAGTGTTTATACAGGAATATATAATGGCTTAGCCTTTTGAAGGGACTGCTTGGCAATATCTGTTAAAATCTAAATATTTGCACTGTTTGCCTCAGCAGTTTTACCTCTAGCAACTGATCTTATACAAATAATCATTCAAGGGCACAAAGATATACGTACAGGATATTTATATAATAGCAGAAGACTGCAAACACCTATAAACATGGAATTGGTCAGCAGGGGGCGTTTAGCAAACTGATTTTTTTTTTTTTTTTTTTTAATACTCACCTGAGGATATTTTTTCTATTGCTTTTCAGAGGGAGTGGAAGGGAGAGAGAGAGAAATATCGATGTGAGAGAGACACATCAACTGGTTGCGTCCCACACGAGCCCCAACCAGGGCTGGGGATCAAGCCTGCAACCGAGGTACGTGCCCTTGGCTGGAATTGAACCCGGACCCTTCAGTCCACAGGCTGACACTCTAACCACTGAGCCAAACCAGCTAGGGCACAAACTGAATGTCTCTATAACCATGTGAGGCAGAAAATATCAGGGTAAATTTTACAAATCAATTAAACCAATAGTACCATAGATAAGAACAGATAAATGAAAATTACATATTTCTTAAGTCTCATACCAAATGAGACATTCCACTAGAATACATCATGGTTTTACTTCCCATCTTCTAATTAGGAAGGTTGCTGTCTTACACTATATATTGTTGATTCCCTGAGAGATTACAATGGTGAGGCCATGGAAAGCACAAGGAATGCTCATCATCTGGAAAGCAACTTAAGACATATGTTGTCATGCAAGAGAGCTCAGGAAAATTTACAATGTCACAGACGAAGGAACAGGCTTTGCTAGGAACTTATAAGCCAAGATTCTGCGAGAAGGCACAGGGGATACAGTGGGGCCAGGGTGCTCTGTTGGACATGTCATACGTGAGCATTCCAGCGAAGGGACATCCTCTCCCCTTTTGCTTTCTCTTCTTCAAGACCAAAGTGGTGAACATCCTTATCAGTGGGGTCCACAGAGACCACTTGGTATCAGGCTGTCTGGGTTTAAATGTCAACTGTCAGGAGTTATCTGAGAGAACCAGATGCCTGTATCTGGACTCCTTGGGTGTCTATGGGAAGTTGCAGCCCCTCCTGCCAAGAGGGAGAACGCCACTAGTGCCATGGGAAGTCAAATTTGGAAGAAACAGGGAGGCCATTGGTCACAGCTGGTTCATTGTTTAGGCAACCCAGAGTAATCTGCTGGGGTCATCTATAGACTATCCTGTCTATTTTACCACTTGCACTGGTCAATAGCATCATTTTTTATATATTTTTTAAAAAACTTATCTTTATTGTTGAAGATATTGTGTGTGTGTGTGTGTGTGTGTGTGTCCCCCGCTGATCCCTTGCATCATCTTTTTTATATAAATTTTTGATATAACATTAAGGGTTCTGTTTCTATTAAAATTTTAAGATGCCTGCTTCTGCCATAATAATTTGCAATTCTTAGGACCTTTTGTGGGCCTTCCATTTTATGTCATTTAAACAAAATTTAAATACTTTAAAAGCTGGCATTTTATTAAGAATTTTAAATATTCAGCGCCATTCTGGCTTTGGCTAGACTAGTTCTCTTAGGAGTTACTCATTGCCACCTGCTGGGGAAGAGAAGAAGTGCAGTTGGACACTTCACTCAGGCAGCAGACCTGAGGATTACTCCTGAACCAGTCCCACACTCACCCCACTAAGCTGGAATAGAAGCAAGTCCTTGAAAGCAAGTCACGTAAAATATTACACTTTGTCGTTGTGTTTCACAGGTTCCCAATAAATTGGGAGGGAAATGTTTTTAATCCCATGTGTACTCGTTTTGAAGTAATTATAATTAAAAAACATATTCATCTACTTATCATTTAAACCTTTATTAAGTACCTACCATATGCACAATCCTGGGCAAAATATTAAATGAATACAAAGATGAATTTTAAAATGGTGCCAAGTCTCAAGGAGTTTACAATCTAATGATAGTGACAAGTACCTGAACACAAACTATAGGAAAGGAATTACAAATAAACATTTGCCCTTGATTGGAAAAAATCACTTTATTCCTTCATTTAAAGCATAAACTTCCAGTAGGAAAACACTGGTATTATATATACCTTTATAAGTTCATCCTCTTTAAAGGAAGTTGATTGTTTTTATAAAAGAAAATGTCTCACCCTGTCACATCTTTATGACTGGTTTGAGTTCTTATAACAAAAAATTTGCTTTAAGAGAAAAAAATGATAGATTCATAAAATCAAATTAATATGCGCAGAAAGACAAAGTGTATCTGCAATAATATGTAAAAAGTTGAGCACCACTGGGTCTAGTATTAAAGAGGCAAGTCAGAATTACTTTGGAGACTTGCCTTGGACAAGTTATTATGCACAATTTCATCACATTTAAAACAGGGTTGATATTTATTAAGATTATAGATACTATCATTATTTCCATCTGTCATAATACGCAAGGTTAAAAAATAGTATAAAAACTTTTCTAATAATTTATATATCAAAAATAATTTGAAATAAAGCTATAGATAAAAAGTGGTGAATTTAATAGTATACTTTTGGTGCAGAAATAAATATAAATTTGAAAGTATTTTTTCTATATTTTATTGCTTTTTAGAAATGGTTCAGATAAGAAACTTTATAAAACAAGCTTGAGGATTCATTTTGTGAGATTACAGAGAAAAAGAATGTGCAAATAGTATAATTTAAAAATATGTATTGATTCATGCTTCCCAGAGAAATTTTTTCAAACAAAACACCAAAGGCCAGTACTTCTCTCAATGCTAAGCCATTTTTTTCTACCAAAAATAATAACGTAATGTATATTTTTATGACTAATCAGTTTGTGACAGCTGTGATTCTCAACCACTTTAAAAAAATACAAGATCAGAGTTGCAAACAGAACATGTGTAGCAATTTAAAAAACTGAACAGGCAAAGCCTTACTTCGACCAAATGACCAATCAGCAGGATTCGGCCTTTTCGGCTACAGATGACTTTGCTCAAGAGCTCTGCACACATCAGAGGGCTCCCATCCATATTCCTAACACAACAAGCAAGGCTGCTAACACTGGATGCTGCAAACCGCAGCTCAGGCACAGAGAGGAGGTCTTGCTGATTCTGTTTTATTCTTCAACAGATTTCTCTTCTCCACTCTCTTCATCGGATTCATCTTTTTCTTTGCAAGAATCCTGGCTGTTGATTTCAGTAAAATAATTTTCTTCCCCATTCTCTCCCTCTTCTACATTTTCTTCTTCATTAAAGCTAGAGGAAAAAATTTATCAGTCATTCAAAGGAAAATTGATTTGGTTTAAAGGTAAACAAACCCTTTGCAATGTATGTCATCATGATGTCAGTCTTCCTTAAGTGTATGAGCTCCAATTTACCAAGAAACTCTCTATATAAGTCCCAATTGGGAAAGTAAATGTGCCCCTGAGAACTTATTTCAAAACTTGGTTGACTCTTTAAACTTCACTTGAAAGCATGTTATTTTCATTATTTATGTCAGTCAGAAACTTACTCTACTTAAAAACAAGATATTTCATCACCATGTAATATTTTGGATTTGTCAAAAATATTAAAATATCAATGTTTGATAACAATTCACATGAATTTATTTAGGTAAAAGACCTTTGAAAAACATTATAGAACAGAATTTTTGCTTTCCTGCAGGTAAGAATTTTTTCAGAGGTATACCATTCAGACATCTTATATATGTTACCTTTCTTTATCTTCAGTGAAACTTTTCATCTCTTGATTGCTGAAGGACTCGAATATTTTTCCACTTTTGCCTTTCTTTGAAACAAACTCATCAGATATCCCTAGTGCTTTTAGGGTGTTAGAATAATGCTTTTCTGCTGCCATTCTTGCATTTTTCTATAGGAAAAACAAACCTTTTTAGATGAGAGCAAAAGACTTTAACTTTCCATTAAAAAATGTATGGGTTAAAAGTTCCAGTGAATATTAAATTCAGTAATCAGTTGGTTGAAAATATGCATCCCCTCTGACCAGCAATTCCACTCCTAGGTATATACCCAGAGAAACTCCTACATGTGCCCCAGGAGACATGTATAAAAATGTTCAGGACAGTACTGTTTATAACAACCCCAATCTGGAAACAACCCAAATATCTATCAGTAGGATGGATAAATAAATTGTAGTCTATTCATACAATAGAGTAATGAAAATGAATGAACTCTAGTTATACACCATAACATGGATGAACCTCACAAACATAATCCTGAGCAAAAGAAGCAAAACATAATAAATATATATAATTTCCATTTACAAAAAGCCCCCAAAGAGGCAAAACTAAACTATATTGTATAGAGATAAATCATAGGTGGTAAAACTGCAAAGAAAAACAAGGAAATACCTGTCTCAAAAGTTAGAATAGTGGTTACCTCTAGGGGAGAGGGAGAGGGTTTTGACCCGGGAAAGGTGTGCAGGGTGTAGGGTGCTGGCAACGCTCTATTTGTTAACCTGGGTGGTGGCCACATGAATTCTGATCTATAATTATTCTTTACACTGTGCCTGTTTTATATACTTTTATGACTGCTTAAGGATATCTGGAAAAACAGTAAGAAAATATTTCATGTGATAGTTGTCAGAGGGTTTTTTTATGTGCCTACTGTAATTTCTTCTTTTTATAAGCCATATCTCCACTCCACAGATAATACAATCATCAGTGTTGTTATCTTTACTCTGTGGAGGAAGCAAAAAGATACAGCAAAAAGAACATGAACTTAGAACTGGGTTCAAATCTCCAGAAAGTTACTTCCTGGCTTTGGGGTCTGTGGGAGTTATGATGACCCTCTCATATCAGAAGCAAGTTGGAAGTTGTCACAGTTCCTGAGACCGTAGGCTTTATGGAGCCACAAGATGACTGGGGTTCACACTAGGGCCTTGGCTTTAGTCCACTTTTAGCTCCCATGAGTGGATATGAACTAGTATAGGGCCAAGAGTTGCCACCTGGACCTCCAACTAAAACAAAGTGACTAGGAATGGCCCAGTTCCCGTGGCACCCAGTCTCACCCCCAAATTTAAAAAATAAGGAAACCAAGATGTCCCCACCACCCTCACTGAGGTTAAACGGTTTGCTTAAGGTCACAAGAATGGTTAAGTGGTAGAAACAAGTCTCTTGACCCTTTCCTGGGTCTTTTCCACTGTACCACGCTGTTTTTATCTAAGTGGTAGCCTAAAGCCTGACTTCAGCAATGCAGTGGTCAAATATTTGCCCAATCCAGGTACTCCAGCATAATGAGGGGTCATGGAGTCTAGTATTTCATGGAAGAAATTAAAATAGCAAAGACTGATTACAATGGATTAAAACGATCAACAGTGCATTTTCTGACACTCTGGAAAACTGAAAAACAGCACTTTAGCTGCTGCTAAAATGCACCAACTGTGAATAACAACCGTTTTTTTTTAAAAATCCTCACCTGAGGATGTTTTTTCCATTGCTTTTCAGAGCAATGCCCTTGGTGGCAATTGAACCTGAGACCCTTCAGTCTGTGGGCCAATGCTCTAACCACTGAGTAAAACCGGCTAGAGCAATAATACTTTTTAGAAAACAAAGTGAACAAGCATCCAGAGGCTATATTCATAGACTAGGCTTGGGGGAACTGAAAGGCATGGCAAAGTAAGATAAGAACTGTGCCCAAAGACTATAAAGCAGAATAAAGAAACCCCAAGTCTAACTCTGAATGCATTAAGAACAGTATATTCTGATTTAAGCAAATTAAATATAAAAGAGATTAAAATACTAATCAAAGTTAGTACTCATAAATGTTCATCTGAATTTGGTTTAAAATTCAATTTAACATGTACTCAGTTAACAAACCTTGTAATTTCCAAGAAACAGGACAACATGGTTTGTTCTGTACTGGATCACAGGCCTACTGGTAGTGGATAACTCAACAACAGCAAGACCACAGTTAACACTTACAAATGAGTAATGCATAAAGTTTGAGTGAATTTATTACAATAACAGCTTTTAATTAGCACCAATAGTCACAGCAAAACAGACTGCAAGAAAAATGTACTAATTTCTCTTAACAAAAGCAAAGCAGACTGATGAATTTCAGAGGGAAGGCAGGGGTAGGTGGGTGGGGAGAGATTAATGAAAGAACTTATATGCATATATGCATAACTCATGGACACTAACAATAGTGTGATGAAGGC